TCATGTATAAATCCTCTTCATTTCAAATCTAACAGTACATCCGTTTCCAAAAACACTCAATAAAAGAGATTTTTCATTGACTAATTTTGTTTGATTTTTTTAACTTGGGCTTTGTGTTGACTGTGCTGCACCACGAGTTCTCGATATGGGCCCAGTTAGATTATTATCTGTGCTTTGAAAGAGTAGCAACAATTCATATTTACGGATAACACTTTCACTCATCTGTGTGTGCGATATATGATCTGCCTTTAGAAATCTCTGTTAATTGAACAGTGTCTGACCAAAGTGAACACCTTGAGCTTCAACCATTTGTCTGCTGGCAAACGTCTGACCTCTGCTGTGAAATACCCCAACTTCAATGAGATAAAAAGGCACAAAATTTGTTAGACATTCATGCTCCCCAAAAGATGCCGGGCAAGAGAGCTCTTTATTTCCAAGTAAAAGTAATCTGCAAACATGATGAAAACCGCATAAGCCACAGTCGTACCTTCCATTTATTGTGGTTTAGCAAAGGTCGGCATGGCTAAGACTAGCATTTCAAGTAACACCTTATGGTTGTAGACTGCTAAGCTTTGTTTAGGCTTTCTGCAAAAGGGTAACGTAAAGTAAGGTCTTCATTATGAGAACAGCCACTGATTGAACATTTCAGACCAGCTGACAATGAACAGCCTTCAAAAAGTTTGAAAATGTTTTTGTGTGTTAAACTGGTGAATGGTGCCCTTTTTTTCCCATGACTTAAGGCCACCAGATTTTGCACAACTACCTCTATTTGGTCTTTAAGTGATGACGTGATGAATCCTGCTTCCGGGCCCAAACAACTCTGCGTTTAATAAGGCTTTTGTGTTTTTTACATGTTTTAATGCTTTGTATCTTGTTATATTTAATCTCCACAAGCCCCTAAAAACAGTCAGTGATCACTGTCGGCCTCTCTCGGTTTTTATTACCACTAATCATTTTAAAGCTCCGTTTTTAAAACCTTACCATGTAACTACAGCTCAGCCCATGCAACAGTATTTTGATAACTAACCTCGTATTGTGGATGGATCAGTTGTTCTCCCGACTAAAGTTCAGTCCGTTCACAGCATCCTGCTATGCGATTGCATTTGTCCCGAACCTTCGGGAACCCTCACATTAACTTTTATTGAGTGAAAAAAGATGGCGTTCACCCTCCATCTTCAATGTTTATATTATGCTCACATAGCTGTGTCGTTAGCGATCACGTAGCACATCATTATATACCAGCTGGCCAAACTTCAGTAACCCTACAAAGGTCCCTGCCGTTCACTTTCCTGTCTTCAATTATGTCGGAAATGATAGCAGAGCTGTACGTCTTAATTTGTTTCATAAATCCCTCAGTCAGAAAATGGTATATTATATTTAGATGCAAACTAGCAAACTAGCAAGCTAACTTCTAACTCCATTAAATTTCATAAATTTGGTTTTCGTGGATGCCTGGATGTTAAACTTAATTGTTACACCTGATAGAGCAGCAACGCTGATCATTTTATTACAGATGAAAGGATTTAGACAGTTTTTCTCAGTGATGCTGCAGTGATCGTTGGAATTAGGGACCTGCAGCAGAGTTTGGTCCCACGCATGGCTAATGATGTCAGACTTAAACACCGGATAGCCGGTTACTAAGACTACTTGAAGTACCCTCAGAGGATCTACTAGGTGATGTGAATTCAGCACTACGGATGATATCTACCGCCATCATTACCGAGACTAACAAGCTGATCTACACCATGGCAGCAGTGATCAGTGAGATGCTTGGCTACAAGTTGAACACCTACCTCCCTTCGTGCTACCTTTATCTTAGCCTCTAGTCTCCTTCTCCATGGACGGTACTGCTCCTTGTGGCTGTTCAACTTGTAGCCACAAGGAGCAGGGAAACCTGCAGTCAGCTGAGACTGAAGAAGTCACTTGGATGAGTGACGAAACGTTTCTCCCACAAAACGCTACGTCCAGATGAACAGAATCAACTTTTGGAGATTTACTTTCCTGGATGATTGAGAATGCATCAAGACGGTTTATCTTTTCATTATTTCCCAACCTGGAAGCAACATGAGGGAGCTCGGGTATCGATGTTACCAAACGAAGGCGTCTAGCCTGGATAGCAGCTGTGAGACGAGCTGATATCCAGTTCTCTTCCATCTCCAAATATCTGTTGGTGCTCCAGACATTTTCATTCCGGTAAGTTCTTAATATGTTCATATCACTCTTTGTAGCCTATTAGTTTTATTTTCGATGCACTCTGAGGTCATAGGAAATTAGAACAAACATCCTACTGAGTGATTTTGCAGAACTACCTTCAATTTATAGAGTTGCTAATTATTTGGCATTATTGCAGCAAACCAGCCTATGAAATGGATGAAACACATCGTGACTGAGTTCCAGCGCTACACAAGGGACCTGCTTCAAACATACCAACAACATGTTCCTGTACACTATGCTGGCCACTTGGTTATGGCGTTCCAT